AATAAATTCCGTTGCACAACTAAAAGTGTCAGTTGGAGAGGATTATTTACCATGATAAAAATGTTAACAGTCTACGATATATAAAGAATTTGCACAAATCTATTTCATAGGGAAAGGGACATGAAACTACAAAGGAAAATGGACAAATTAGTCTTGTTGATTTGAAGAAGGGATTAACCAAATGATGAATTTATATCAGAAATATCAGAAATAGGGGCTGGGGATTTAGCTCAGAGGCATAAGCGCCTGCCTTGCAAGCAGGCAGTCGTGAGTTTGATCCCCGGTACCGATAAAAAGGAAAAAGACAGAAAAAAAGAAAGAAAGAAAGAAAGACCAGAAATAACCTTTAAGGATCATATGTCCAAGTCTAGACTGGGCAACACAGAAACTTAGCAACACCCTACATCAAAATAAAAAGGGACTGGTACTGTAGCTCAGTGTGAAGGCCCCAGGTCCAATCCCCACTACCCTAATCAATCAATCAATTAATAGATATTGCATATAAAAATTACAGTAGGAGTCTATCTTACTGTTATAATTCTGGTGGGCAAAAAATAGTATCACAACACTGAACAGCAGTGGTGGTGAGACTATAAGTGAGAACACTAGTCAGGAAAACAAGTTAAAACATGTGGAGACATGGTGATGTCAAGTGCACTATGGCAGTGTACTCCAAAGAGCAGCACAGAGCGAAACCTGTGAATACATTAAATGCGGGGATACAGGCAACAAGCTGGGATACTTGCATTATTGGAAGTACACATCTAAGTATTGCAATATTTATAGCCTTCCCAAAACAGGGTTGGTTGTAAAAAGAACCAGGGAATTTATACAAAAACAAGTTATATCAATGAAATTCTAATTTGTGGCTGTTTAGGCAATGGATTAATGAGATAAGAGATAAACCTGGTAAGTTTTGAAAATTTTCTGCTAAGGTAAAGAAAACATTAAAGGGCAAGAAAGAAGAAACAAGCAAAGATGGAAAGAAAACCAAAACAAAAAAATACTGCAGAGAATTATAATAGCCAAATATTTTTAAAGAGTAGTTAAGAGTAGTTAACCTATAACTATACAATACTCGTTGCCATTTGTATAACTTCAAGACTCCTGTACATATATTTATTACTTTTATTCATATTACCTTAAAACTGGTGAGCTATTTTCCTGTTTTGGGTTTTTTTGTTTGTTTTGTTTTGTTTTTGCTGGAAAGTGAACTTTTTGAATGAAAATCCTCTTTCTGATTTGCAATATTTGCCTGAAAGGAAACAGTGGTAGGCAGAATTCTAAGAAAAAGTGCTCTCAGGGAAAAAAAGTCAAAATGGAGTGGTATTGACTGAAGGCATTTAAAACAGAGTTGGAGGCTATTGTTAATCAGATTTCAGGCATATTCTCAACTAAATTTATCACACATAACTCCTTTGCCCGCCCCCTGTCGGGTTCTATTTCTTTTTGTCTCTTTGAGACAAAGTTTCACTATGAGTTCAGACTGGTCTTCAACTCAATTTGTAGCCCAGGATGGACTCAAACTCCCAGAGATCCTGTGTCTCAGCCTCAGAGGCTGAGATGTGCCACCACATCTGGCCATTTAACTCTTTTCTGGCAAGACAGTTTAATCTTCAACAGCACCAGTCAGAGTACAAGCATAGTGATGATGGTAATTGGGCTCTGACAAAGGGAAATTGTAAGATGTTTCTTTTAAGTAAAAAGGTGAAAGTATAAGATATTTTGGGAGAGAAAACATTTACAAATGTTTATTACAGGTGTGATTAAGACTGCTCCAGTTGGTGTCTTCCCAGATTGTAATCCTGTTTAGCTCCAAATACATACAAGTTTCCTCATTCTTGATTAGGTTGACATCTAAGGAAACAGCTCAGTGATCCTTGTAATTGTGCAGTTCTTGCCCATCAGGGTTTGAGGGACTGTGAATCTGATGAGCTATTTTTCCATGATTATACATCTAACACCACTTTAAGGAATGGAGACTACTGTTTAAAGAAGGGTGACTATCTTTGGTTGTCTTGACCTAATTGTGGGTGAATCTTTCAATCCATGGTTAGTTGACCCTGTCACTGTTGGGCCTATGGCAAGACAGCACAGCAAGGCGGCAGCACTTACCAAACCCTTAACCTCAGGGCTGGGAATTGAAAAGCAGAGAAAGAAGAGGTGGAGTCCCACTGTCCCCTCAAGGGCACACTTCCATTGGGCTCCACCTCTTAAAGTTCCACACCTCCCAGAAGCACAGAGCTGGTGAATGAGTCTTTCACACATGAGGCTGAAAGGGATTCCAGACCTAAATGATAGAGCTCACCCCTAAGATGCTCACTGCCACACTTTGAATCTGGAACTTCCCCCCAAAGGCCACTGCACTGCAGGTTTGGTCCCAGCTTGTGGTGCTGGAAGGAGATGGTGGAACATTTAGGAAGTAGGGCTACAGGACAGAAATTCAGATACTGTGAGTGTGGGACCCTGGCCTTTCTACTTTTTGTTCCTGACTGCTTTGAAGAGAGCAGCCAGCTTTTTCTGCCACACACTCCTGCCACGGTTCCCAAAAGCAACAGGATCAAGCAATCATGGTCTGAAACTGTGAGCCTAAATTAAAGTTTTCTTATAGTTTTATTATCTCATGAATTTTGTCACATCACTAGGTTTGTGATAATTAGTAACACAGTGCATTAGCTAGCTTTCCGTTGCCATACAGATCTGTAGTCACAGGAGTGATAGCTCATCATGTTCATAGTCTGTCAAACCCTGAAAGGGAAGAACTACAGAAGGATGTGGATCACTGAGAGGTTGCTTAGAATGAACTCAACCTAGTCAAGAACAAGGAAAATTGATATATTTAGAGCTCACCAGGATTAAAAACCAGGAAAACACCAGGTAACAAAAAGATAACAAAGTAATTAATAGAAATTTTCGTTAGATAAATGGCATGCTGCCATAACATATATAGGAGGCTCTTTGTTTCCACAGGTGTGTTCCAAGACTCCCAAGGAATGCCTAACACCGCAGACAGTACCAAATGTCACAGGTACTATTTTAGTCTATACATGCACATCTACAGTAAAGTTTAATGCATAAACTAGGCATGGAAGAGATTAGCAGCAACAGTAATAAAATAGAACAATCATACTACATCTGTAATAAACATCTGTAAATGTTTTCTCTCCCAAAATATCTTATACTTTCACCTTTTTACTTAAAAGAAACATCTTACAATTTCCCTTTGTCAGAGCCCAATTACCATCATCACTATGCTTGTACTTACGAGCCCTGGTTAAGTAAAGGTTTCTTGAACATACAACTCAGAATGTTTAGTGATTTAACATTTATGGATTGTTTCTTTCTAGAATTCTTCATGTAACTTGAATGCCTCCCAAAATCTTAAAAATACCTTACTTACGCCTGAGTTTTCAGCCTTAAAGATCACTATGATAGGCTGAGTAAATTTAGGGTTAATAAACCGTATATTACCCGTTTTCAGACAGACATTGCTTAAGTGATGAGCACACCTATCTGCAGAGCTGAGCAGGACTGGGACTCAGAGAAGTTTCAAGGCCACACACAAAAAAAGACAATCATAAAATGAAGGTAGAGATGTCAAGCTTTGTCCTACTTTTAATAACTCACTGGGGTTCTGCAGGTCCAGCATTGAGCTCCCTGTTATAGCACTAACATTCCACCTGTGTCTCTCTTCTTTCATAGGAGCTTGTCGAGACACCAATCATTGCATTTACAGCCAACCCTGACCCAGGGAGGCATCATCTTAACTTGATCCACAAAGATTCCATCTCCAAATCAAGTGATATTCACAGGTTCCTGGGATGAGGGCTTCAGCATATCTTCTGAATAATTCAGCATACCTTCTGGATAATTCAATTGACATCTCAGCCTTCTTCAAATAAGCCTGTGCTTTTCTTTCTTCTCTTTCTTTCTTTCTTTCTTTCTTTCTTTCTTTCTTTCTTTCTTTCTTTCATCTTCCTCTCTTTCTTTCTTTCTGTCTGTCTGCCTCTTTCTTTCTTTCTTATTTCTTCCTTTCAACTTTTACGGTGTGACTCTATACCAGGTTTCCTTCTATGACACCTACACCTCTGCCTTTTGTTTTTGTGGGCTTCTGATCTTATCTGCCTTTATTTCAAACGTACTGACTATACACTGGTGCAAATATCTAGCTACCTAGTTTCATTTTGCTGCTTAAAGCACAATGTGAGAGGAGAGTGATACACGGAGAGGAGACCTGTCTAGCTGTAAGATGCGGGAACCAGGTGATTTTGAATATTCTCAGCTTCTTCAGATGTCAAAAGACAGTTTCTGGCGGAGGGCTCAGAAAGAGATCCAGATATTCAAGTGCCGGACCCGTCAGGCCAGCAAGTGCTCCTCACAGGTCTCTATGGCAACCGAGGGCCTGCAGGACACAGAAGGGCACTATTGCTCTGGCATCTCTTTCCTCTTTTTTTATTTCAAAAGATCTGTGGTTGTGGCTTTGTTTGATTAAGAGAAATCTCAGGACTGCAAAGATCCTGAGACAGTTAAAGTAAACAGAAATAGTCACAGCAAGTAACCCCCACGCCACATACACACGCACACGCACGCACGCACATGCGCATGCACGCCTGCCTTAATTCTCACAAGAAGCAAGTTGATAAGCCTGCACAGATAAAAATGTGTGTTACCTTCCTTGAAAAAGGAAGGACAACCAGGGCTCCAAAGTGGAGCACTAAGGGTGTTCCTAGTTTTCTCCCATGCCTTGACACCTGGTGGAGCTCTGGGATGTGGTGAGAGCATTTTGCATAGTAAAGGACCATGAATCACTGGAGGCTTATGGTGAGGTGCTATGACACACCGCCTCTCCCGCCATCCCAGGGCTTCCTGGGGATGATGGACCCCTCAGAGCTGGGCATCTGCACAGTGCGGGCTGGGGGGGGGCATAGCCCCTGGACACGCCAGGATGACTCGCCGTTGGCAGCGCGTGCTCTGGCTGGGTCACAGATGCCGGTGGCGGGATGGGGAGCACCAGGGGTCAGCAGTCGGGGGTGGGTGGGTGTAGGCCCTGGAGCTCTGCAGTGCTTCTTCTCTGGCTGCACCTCCTGCCACCTGTGGCCAGTAACTCTACACCCTTGTCAGAGAGTAAGTCGGGCAAGGGGAGCCCCAGACAGGAAGCAGCCACCTGCCAGCCTCTCCTGTCCCCTCACTTCTCCGATCCCCGACATCAGTCAAGAGGAGCCCAGAGAAGCCAGTGTGGCTCTGAGGGCCTGGGAAGTGGGTTTCAGTTGGAGTGGGGAGGTAGGGGCTCGTGAAACAGTCCCCTCCCCTCCTGGCGCTTCCCGCTGGTTCTGAAGCCTCCATACAAGGACAGAAGAATCTGTCTGGATCAGCACCACATACTCTTCTCCAAGCTGAGGTGGGAGGGCACACCTACTCAGTCCACCTGGGCCTTCACCTCTGTGCTGTCACCTCTGTCTGCCTTCCTTTCTGCACTTTGAGCTGGGGCTCTAGTGAGCTGGGGTCCAGAGGAGCCAGGCCCAAGGCCCACCTCCTTCCCACACCACTGCAGCTGTCTGCTCACCCTGGCCCCTTGCCCTGCGATTTCATCCTGGGCCTGAGAAGGGAGAGGAGCGATTGTAATGTACCCTGAGTCCTGCAGATGCCTCTAGCTTAAGGGCACCAAGGGATGGAGTCCCAAATGCAGGTGCCTCTGGCTGTGATTGTTTCACAGTATGTGGCAGGCCTCAGTTTACAGGGAAGATCTTTGGAGGTAATGCAGCAAAACCTGGAAGGTGGCCGTGGCAGGCCAGTCTGCTCCTGGGTAACCAACACATCTGTGGAGCTACCCTCATCGACAAGAACTGGCTGATCTCTGCAGCCCACTGCTTCCAGAGGTGCGAATTCCCTGCTAGGAAGGGCAGCAGGAGGGAGGTACAGGGTGAGTGAGGGAGGAGCCAGGAGTGCCCAGTATTTGTCTGCCAGGCTTTGGTCTGAGGTGCCTTGAGCGAAGGCCTGAGATGATTTGTTGTGTCAGGTGCCCTGTGTAGCTGCCCCACCTTTGACTCAGTGGTGCCTTCTACCTGGAATGCCATCCTGCTCTTCAATTGACCTCCCTCTCATGTCCACCTGAGCCCCATCTTCAGGCAGGGCCCATCCTTCACTTCTCACGCTGGGATACCTTGCTTGTGCCTAAGGTATGGCAGCCTTTACAGAAGACACTTATGTGAGAATTAGGTCTGGGTCATGCCAACTAGGGAAGTACAGTGACAAGGCCCTGGGGCCATGAGAGGGGCTGGTCAAGCTGGAAATAAGCCACGTCTCTTCTCCAGCAAAGAGGGATACAGTTTGATGTACCCCAAATGTGTCTTTTCAGAATTGGAGCTCTGCTCTTTGGAGCTCTGCTCTTTGAATTCTGAGACATATTAGATAAGCCATCAAGAACCATCAAAGGAGAAATGTCCTGATTATGAGTGGCAGTCAAGCCCACTTTAAGACATGGGTTATCTCAGTATTAGAAAGGGGGCTTAGATAACCCCTTACGATGACAGGGTGGAGCATCTGGTTGCCTGCAAAGTGGGAGAGCTATTAGGGTGAGGGGGGCAGCCCAACACTCAGAGGAACTACCCTCCAATAGGTCCCACAACCCATCCAGCTACCGAATCCTGCTGGGCTACAACCAGCTGAGCAAGCCCACAAACTACAGCCTGATGATGACCGTGCATAAGCTCATTGTCCACGAAGACTATAACAAATATCACCGCATGTCAAATGACATCGTCCTGATGCAACTGCACCGGCCTGTGGAGTTCAGTTCCCAAGTCCTCCCTGCTTGTCTCCCAGATGCAGACTTGCAGCTGGATCCCTTTACTTCCTGCTGGATAACTGGCTGGGGGATGCTTACTGAAAACAGTGAGTGCACAGGATAAGCCAAGAGGGTGTGGGGCTGGGAGACCTGTGTCTTCAGTTTTTAAAAAGCCTCATGGTTCCCTCAGTCCTGCCCCTCCACCCCTCAAAAATCTCTAAATTTCAGGATCAGAAGTTAGGCTCTGTCACTCTGAGCCATTTAGGATTAACAGGGCTCACCATATTTGGCCACCCTCATTCAATGTTCTTGTGCAGTTTGGCCACTTCAGGGTCTCATCAAACACCGTTCAGTCCTCCATGGCCCCAGAAGGTGCTGTGTGTAAAGAGATGAGAGCAGCTCACCCTTTGACCTGAGGCAAGCTGGGGTGTCCATAGCTGAAGAACATTTACCTGTGTGGAACTCACTGCTCATACATTAATGCAAGTAACACCTGTTTGTTCACTTGACTTGCACAGGCAGCCCTCTTTATCTGTGATTGTACACTCAAAACATTCAGAGCAGGAGGATTGTGCATTGTTTTTTGATTTTTCTCTGAATGATACAGTACCTCTATTTACATAGCATTTACACTGCATCAGGTATTCTAGACCTGTACATACGTTCTCTGTAAGTATCTTGATGCCATTTTATATAAGACATTTCAGCATCTGTGAGTTTTGGTATCCTTGGAGGATGCCTATGGATACTGAAGGGTAGAAAAATATCTTGAGATGGAGGGAGATGTTGAGCAGAGATTTTTGTACAAATGTGAGTGCTTTTGATCCAAAAGACATAATGGTGAATGGCAAAAAATGTAGAATATAAAATTGGATGACTCATAGGGTCACAATCCGGTAGAGCATCTCCACAGTGGCATTTGATGCAGGACTTTCCTTGAGATTTGGCATGGTGCCGCCCCGCTTCTGGCCTCTAAATGTCAGTCATATGGCTTAGTCAGCTCACTGTCTCTTAGCCAGCTCACTGACACTTTCAGATCCCTTCCTGGGGTGAGCTGTCAGTCTCAGAACCACTGGAAGAGGCAGGGAATATCCAAGCCAGGTCAAAGGAGAGGAGTGAGAGCATGAAGAGAACTCATGAGCTGGAGAGCCACCAGGGGATGGAGCAGCTGACACCAGTGAGAGCCTGGACCTTCACTCCTTGTCTCTCAGCATTCTCCCCCGATGGCTGTGCTGACCCAGACGTAGGGTTTGCCACATACCAGCAGCTGATGATGATCCAGAAAAGACGTAGCCAGAGAGCACTGCACCAGAGTGAGCTGTCATCCTAACAACATGCTAGCACACAGAGACTGCAGGTCAGACCTGTGAGTGACACCTAGAAAGAGAACTCAAGTAGCTAAGGTCAATTGCTCCTTGAGGTGAGGCTTTTTTTTTTTTTTTTTACTGTTATACACTGATAAACTTGTTGGTACCTGTGACATACACTAGTGCTATATTCCACCTAGGCCAGGACTCACACTCCCACCCTCCATATTGCTATCTCTTATTCACAAAGCAGCCAGAAGAACTGGTCTTGGAATGTAAGTGGACCTTTCCAATAGTGCCAGTGCACTTAGAATGAACTTGCAATTCTACAGCCTGGCAAGGAGGCAGTGCCTGATCTTGGCCCTGCTATAACTACAACTCATCTTTTCTGCCCCACTCTTTGCAGCTACACTGACCTCCTTCCTGGTTCTTTCCGCCAGTGGCCTTTCTTCTTGGCTCTCTTGAATGCCTTTCCTCCTCATCATTTTATGTTCACTGCTGGCAGCCAGAGTGGGTAAACCCTGCAGGAAGCAGACTTGAGAGGAATTGGGTTTTTCTCCAGGCTGAGTCTCACATGTAAATTCTATCCCACAGCATTCCTGCCTCAACCCTTACAACTGCAGGAGGGGGAAATGAGTCTCATAGAGCAAAATCTGTGTGCAGGCCATTATGCACTTCCACCTGGTGTCACGGACCCCAATGCCTACACAGTGCAGGAAGACATGCTGTGTGCTGCAGAATTTTCAACACAGAGATCTATCTGCAAAGTAAGTGAGGCCTCTCAGATTCCACACTAAGCCTGGTCATCCCTCTGCTCCTACAGTGACCACGTCCCCTCCTTCTAGGTCTTCTCTGTACACCGCCACAGCCCATTTTCTAAAACCTTCCCAAGCTCAACCCAAACTAAGATGTCAGACCCTTAGAGAGCATCCCTATTTTTCTCATCCATTTTCTTTTTTTTAATTTAAAAAAAAGATTGAAATAAAAGGGGACATAACAACAGCAGTCAGAATAGAACAATTTAAGCAACATAGTTTTTCACCAGAAAACAACATGACATAACAGTAGTTACCATAATTTCTCTTTTCTTGAAATATTTGAGTATACCTTCATATACTATAGCATCAAACATAACAAGACAGTGTAAAACCATTCAAGAGAATGAAAGTATTACAGGGTATTCAGAAACAACTAAGAGAAAATGAACAATGGTTACTATATTATCTCCTTGTCTATAAAAATTTTTGTTTATACTATCACATATAATAAAATCCAATAAGATACAACATAATAAAACCGATGGAGTCAGGAGAACAAAAGCTTGGTGGTACTTCAAAATAGGATGATATTAACTCATCACTAGCTATTTATAGTGTCTTGTTTTCTTCAAAATAGCTGTTTATACCATCACAGACAATAAAATCAAATACCCCAGAATAAAACCATTCCAAGTAATGAATGGAAACTTTATAAGGCTTCAAAACAATATAATGGGGAGTCATGATTACCACACACTTTTATGTACTCTTACTATTTCTTACACTAGGGAAAGTATTTGGTATTTATACATGAGAGTTTCATTTATTTTGCTTATGAGTATGGTCTCAAGCTGTGTCCATTTATTTATAAATATCTCAATGTGATCATTCTTTATAGCTCAGTAGTACTCCATTGTATAAAATACTACAACCCTTTTATCCATGCCTCAGTTGATGGACACTTAGGTTGTTTCCAAGATCTGGCTATTACAAATTGTGCTGCTATAAACATGGGTGCACGTATATCACTGTGGTATGATGTTTTCAATTCTTCTGGGAATATGCCTAGAAGTGGAATAGCTGGAAAAAAATGGACTTCCAATCCCAGCTTTTTGAGAAATCTCCAAATTGACCTCCACAATGGTTGCACCAGTTTACACTCCCACCAACAGCACAGGAGAGTTCTTTTTTCCCCACAGCCTCTCCAGCATTTGTTGTTGGTAGTTTTCTTGATCCTGGCCATTCTTTCAAGAGTTAGATGGAATCTCAGTGTTGTTTTAATTTGCATTTCTCTAATGAGTAATGATGATGAAGATTTTTTCATGTATTTATTTACAATTTGTATTTCTTCATCTGAGAATTGTGTATTCTTCTCAGATGCCCATTTTTGGATTGGATATTTGAATTTTGGGGGTCTGATTGTTTAAAATTCTTTATATGTTTTAGACAGAAACCTTTGCCTGAGGTACAGTTAACTAAGATTTTTTTTCCCAGTTTGTGAGTTTTCTTTTCACTATGCTGGAGATTTCTTTTGACATGCAGAAACTTTTCAATAAGAGGTGATCCCAGGTATTGATTCTGGAAAGTATTTCCTGTGCAGTTTGATTTCTTTTCATAAATTCTCTACCTACCCCTATGTCTTCAAAGTTTTTACCCAATTTGTCTTCCAATAGATTTAGTGTTTCTGTTTTCATATTCAGATCTTTGATCCATTTAGATTTTAATTTAGTACATGGTGATAGACATGGGTCTAGCTTTAGTTTTTGGCAAATGGAGAGCCAGTTTTTCCAGCACCATTTATTAAAGAGACTGTCGTTCTTCCAGTGAACCTGCTTGGCTCCTTTATCAAAGATAAGGTGGTTGAGTGTGTTTGTAGTTGTGGCTGTATCTTCTAATTTATTCCATTGATCTTTGGCTCTGTTTTTATTCCAGTGCCATGTTGATTTTACTACTGTTGCTTTGTAGAATAACTTCAAGTCAGGGATTGTGAATCCTCTTGCCTTGCCTTTGCTGCTTAGAATTGTCTTTGCTATTCTAGGTCTCTTCTGGTTCCAGATGAATTTTAGGAGTGACTTCTCTAGATCAATGAGGTATGTTGATGTTATTTTTCTTGAGATTGCATTGAATCTGTATAACAGTTTTGGGAGAATGGCCATTTTCACAATATTTATTCTTCCTATTCATAAGCAAGGGATGTCTTTCCACTTTCTGAGATCCTATTCAGTTTCCTTTTTCAGTGTATTATAATTTTCCATAAATACATGTTTCACTTCTTTCGTGAGAATAACTCCTGAATATTTCAGTTTTTTGGTTGCTATTGTGAATGGTGTGGCTTCTCTTTTTTCTCTCTCTGTGATTTTGTTGTTAGTGTATAGGAATGCTATTGATTTTTGAGTAATAATTTTGTATCCAGCTACATTGCTAAATTTATTTATTATATCTAGGAGTCTTTTAATGGAGTTTTGAGAGTCTTCTATGTAGAGTATCATGTTATCCGCAAATAAGGGTAATTTAACTTCTTCTTTTCCAATGTTTAACTCTTTTATTTCTCTCTGTCTAACTGCTCTCGCTAGTATTTCCAGTACTATATTAAATAGGAGTGGTGATACGGGACATCCTTGTGTTGTCCCTGATTTTAAGGTAAAGGCCTTCAGTTTTGGGCCATTTAGTATGATACTGGCTGTTGGTAAATATCAACCATTCCAATTTTCTGTAAGGTTCTTATCATGAATGAATGTTGGACCTTATCAAATGCCTTTTCTGCATCTATAGAAATGATCATGTGGTTCTTACTTTTGGCTTTATTGACATAGTGGATTATATTTATTGATTTACATATGTTGAACCATCCTTGCATACCTGGGATGAATCCCACTTGGTCATACTGTATAATCTTCTTAGTGTTTTGCTGCATATTGCCAATATTTTATTGAGGATTTTTGCATCTGTGTTTATTAGGAAGATTGGCCTATAGTTCTCTTTTTCAGTTGAGTCTTCCTCAGGGTTTTGATACTAGAGTAATATTTGCTTCCAGGAATGACTTAGGAGGGATTGCTTCCCTTTCAATTTCATCGAAGAGTCTGAGGAGTGTTGGCATTAAGTCTTCTTTATATTTCTTGTAGAATTCTGCAGTGAATCCATCTGGGCCTGGGCTCTGCTTTGTAAGTAAGGACTTAATTACATTTTCAACTTCATTAATAGAAATTGCGTTACTCAGCAGTTTTACATCTTCTTGACCTAGCATTGGTACTCCATATGTTTCTAGGAATCTGTTTATTTCTTCTGTGCTATCAAATCTCTGAGAGTAGAAGATTTCAAAATAGGTGTTGATGAGCTTCTGTATTTCTACAGAATCTGTAGTGATTTTGCCTTTTTCATTTCTTATTGCATGAATTTGAGCTTTTTTCCCCCTTTTTAAAATAAGGTTGGCTAGAGCCTTATCAATTTCATTTATTCTTTCAAAGAACCATCTCTTTAATTAATTGTTCTTTGGATTGTTTTCTTAGTCTCTATTGCATTAATTTCTGCTCTGATTTTTATAATTTCCTTCCTTCTTTTGGCCTTGGGCTTGACTTGCTCTTCTTTTTCTAAATGATTGAGGGGTAGCATCATGTTGTTTATTTGTATTCATTCTGTTTTCCTGATGTGGGAACTCAGTGCAATAAATTTCCCTCTGAGGACATCTTTCATTACATCCCACAGATTCCCATAAGTTGTATTTGTATTTTTGTTTGCTTGTAAGTATTGTTTAATTTGTTCTTTAATTTTCCCTGTGACCCACTGATTACTCAAGAGTGTGTTGTTCAGTTTCCATGTGTTTGTGGGATTTTTGCAGTTATCTTTTATCATTAATTTCTAATTTCAAAGTGCTATGATCTGATAACATGCAAGGGATAATTTCAACTCTTTTGCATTTATTTAAATATGTTCTGTGAGCTATTTTATTTTATATGGTCTATTTTAGAGAATGTCCCATGTACTGCTGAGAAGAATGTGTTTTCTGATGTTGTTGGATGGAACACTCTGTATATGTCTATCAAGTCCACTTATTCACAGGTGTGCTTCAGTTCTGTTATTTCTTTGCTGATTTTCTGTCTGGTTGATCTGTCCCTTAGTGTCAATGGTGTGTTAAAGTGTCCTGTTATAATTGTGTTATTGCTAATTTGGTTTTTCATTTCTACTAATACTTGCTTTATATAACTGGGTGCTCTGGAATTTAGTGTATATATATTTAAGATTGTTATCACTTCCTCTTGAAGTTTTCCCCTAACCAGTATGTAAACCTTCTTTATGTCTTTTGATCATTCTTGGTTTGAAGTTCAGATTGTCTGCAAACAGAATAGTGACCCCCACTTTTTTTGGGTTCCTGTTGCATGAAGTAATGTTTTCCTTCCTTTGACTTTCAGTCAGTGAGTATCATTTTCAGTTAGATGAGTTTCTTGTAAACAGCATATAGTTGGATGTTATTTCTTGATCCATTCTGCCTGTTTCTTTTAATTTGTGAATTGAGACCTTTTAAATTAATGGCTATAACTGTTATATATTGGAGTATTGTTGACATGTTATCTTTTTGCTGTTGCATCTTTATCTTTCCCTTCTGTTTAATTGTCTGTTTTGCTTAGTAGTTTTTTCTTAAGTGTATCTAAACTGTCTTTCGGTATTCTTTTCAGGGTTGGCTTGGTGATCATGAAGTTCTTCAGCTGTTTTCTGCATTAAAATATCTTATTTCTCCATCAATTTTGAAGGACAGTTTTGCAGGGTGCATCAGTCTAGGTTGGAACTCATTTTCTTTTAGGATCTAAAATACCTCACTCCATGCTCTTCTTGACTTTATTGTTTGTGCTGAGATGTCTGCTATGATTCTGATAGGTTTTCCTTTATAGGTGATCTTTCTTTTTTGTGTGACAGCTTTTAATATTCTATTCTTGTGTTGGATTTCTGGGATGGCAATTATTATAGGTCTGGATGTAGTTTTATTTTGATTATGGCTTTTTGGAGTTTTTAAAAAA